CTTAATGTCCACTGGCTAACCGCACGTAAGGCGTGGATGTCCTCTTCTCTGTCCCTCTTCTGGTTTGACAACTGTTTTGTTCCTGACGTGCAGAAATTCTGCGAGCAACAGAATGTTCCTTTCAATATTTTGTTGCTCCTTGACAACGCACCTGGACACTCGCCCCTACTTATGGATCGTCACCCCAACGTAAAAGTGGTCTTCCTTCCTCCCAACACTACGTCATTAATCCAGCCCATGGACCAGGAGTTAATCTGCAATGTTAAAGCTGCATACTCGGCAAAGAAATTCAAGCTCCTGAACGACTCTACCAACACCAAGGATGAGTTGCGTAAGCTGGGTGACACCGACAGCGAGAGTAAAAGCGACGAGGACAAGGAACAAGAGGCGGCGACTCAAGAACTTCTCGTCAAACAATTTTGGAAGAAGTTTAACGTCAAACAAGCTGTAGACTTCTTGGTGGAGGCATGGAATCTGCTGTCTATTGCTACGATTCGTCACGCATGGAGACATGTGTTGCATGGCATACCAGGTGAGAGGAGGAGTGAACCTGTGACTGGTCAGGTTCAGACTGTTGCAGTAGCAGTGGACCTTGCCAGAGAAGCTGCGCTCAGTATTACAGCTGAAGGCTTCTCCGAGACCACCAACGAAGACATCATGGAGGTGATCAGAGATCCTGAAGTGACTGCCGACGAGATGTTGGAAGAAGAACCCGCCAGTGAAGAGGAGGAAGAAGGTGCGTCATTCTCCGAAGAACCTAGTTTAAGTCATAGTGATATTAAGTGTGTCATAGAGTTAACAGAAAAAATTAAGTCCATCGTTTCCCGCGACACTGACGATGAACGCCATGACGTCTTCCATACCCGACTGGTGCAGGCTATGGAGCCGTACATCACGGTGTATCATGACAACATCAAAGCCAGCCGTCAGCAAAGCATAACCGAGTTCTTCGCCCGCAACCCACCACAGCCAGCCCAAGCCAGTGATAGTGATAGTGAAGTTGATTTTGAGGGATTTGTCAGGGAAGCCATGACAACTGTAAGTGACAGTGATATTGATTCATCTAGTAATGGTGATTCACCTAGTAATGGTGATTCACCTGAGGGGCAGTAATCTGCCCTCTGCCTCGGAACCAGCCTCCATCCCCGTATGCCGACCCATCTCTTCTACTACCGTGAGTGTTCCTCAAAAATTTTCGTTTTTTAACCTATTCTTTATTTTTCCTATGTTAACCTTTATCTTTCCTAACCTAACCTCTTCTATATTACTTGTTTTTCATGCCACCATAAAGTTAAGATAGAATTTTTACTACAACATAGTTATTTGTCGTCAAAAAGTGGAGTTTGGGGGTCGGGCTGGGTTCTATTGGAATTAATCCCATATGTTCTGTTATTCACTTAACGCGGGACCCTCTGGGTTCAATTGACCGCGTTAAGTGGGGTACAACTGTAGCTTAATTAGGCCAATATATTTATATTTGTATCATGCTTTCCCTTCCTGGAGATACGACAGGGCCCACATATACGAGGTGGCTAGAAGTGGGCATGTGACGCTGAAAGTGTGGTGCTACATATCCCTGCACGGTATGGGAGATGTTTTCCAAATTAAGGGGAGGTTTATGGCAAATAAATACCTAGACATCATGCAGAATCAGTTCCTCCCTTCAATTCAGGAATGCAATTTCCCATTCCCTGCTGGGTCAATTACTTTTATTCATGATAGATGCCCCATCCACACAGCCAGAGCAGTGCGTCGTGTTTGACGGGCAGCAACACCTCAGGCTCTTGGAATTGCCGAGCAAGAGATGCGACATGAATCCCATTGAAAATATCTGGGCAAATACAGCTCCTCCCGGACTTACGACGGGGTTAGGGACCCAAATCCAGGTCTTAAGTCGAAATGGTTGTAAGTCGGAAATGCTTAAATAATGCATAGAAAATCTAAAATGGGTGTCTCTTTTTCTTCTCAGCACCACAAAATACTCAGTTTTAAGCTTGCCAGCCATTTTAAAGTGAATTACAAACGAAAATTTATGTCTGTGTCCTGACTTTGGGAGTTGAAAATACGTAATTTGACCAAATTTGGTACGGCTGAGGCAGGTTGTAAGTGCGGGTGGTTGTAAGTCGAGTAGGTCGTAAGTCGGGGAGGAGCTGTAGTCAACTCCTGGGAGCCCAAGTTCGAGAGGACGCCGAACCAGCTGTTTGACCTTGTGGCAAGACAGTGGGAGACTTTTAGAAACAAACCTGAGCATGTTACAAACACCGTATCTTGTATGCATCGGAGGCTGCAAGCTGTAATTGATAAGGAGGGTGGATGGACCCGTTATTAAACAATACACTGTAAATAATATACCTGTCTATACAGTATTTTAATCTTCGAAAGAAAGAAATATATTATAAACCTTAAATTTAAATTATGCAACGACAATAAAGCCAGTTGCAATATGAATAAAAAATAAAGAAAAAAGATGAGGAACAAAACCCCCCCCCCAAAAAAATTGAGAGCTATTCAACCCCTTTCTGAGTCATCAACTCTATATAAGTACACTCTGTCTTTGCCTGACTCTCTCTCTCACTCAGTTATCAATAATAATACCATCAAATGCAGTTAGTAGAACACCAAAATGACCACTTCAGTGTTTTCCCTTCTTCACACATCCGTGCGGCTCTGGTGCAGGGATACCACATACCATTACAGGTACAGGTTGTACCTCTCTAGTCCGGCATTCTGTGGTCCGGAAACTCCCGTGGTCCGGAACGATTTTAGTTTGTCCAATAGGTAGATAGGCAGCTTTTTTTTTTCCTTATCTGAATTATTATTATTATTACAGGAGTATTAAATTTTTGCCTCTAGGGCCCCAATGTGGGTCAGTGACCTATGCCCGGGTGAGCTTAACTTCTTAAAAAAAAAAAAGCCAAGGAAATTAAGGCTTGTTTACATCTGGCAGTCTTCGTTATATAGAGCACAAGACAACTTTCAAAGAGATATATAAATAAGTATGTCATATTCTTATGTAGAGTAATGACGATATATTTTCACAGGTGCGCACTTACATACGAGCAGTCTCACTTTTTTTTTTACCATTAATGGTTAGCTACTTATATTGTTCCATTTATTAACATTAAATAACATTACAGGTACTTCAAGCAACCATATTCATTTTTTACATTAATTTTACTACAGCTAAACTCAGGTCTTATTTTCTTCAGTTTTATATGTAGAACCAGTCAGTCACTGGTTTCGTAAGCTTTAACATAAACAATGCCGGCAGCGGTCTCGTCTCCTCTAATATTCCACGTATTATTAATAAATTGTATTGTTAATTTTGCACACACGTACATTAATTCAATAAAAACAAATTCAGAAACATTAATTAAAATATATATGAACAGTAAATAAGTGTTGCTTTCATATTCTTATGTAAAGTAATGACGATATGTTTTCACGTGTGCGCATGCGCACTTACATATGCGATCTCTTTTTTCTTTTACCATTATCAAGAATATTAATATTGAATAATGAAATCCATCACTAATTAATGTATTATTAATGAATTACGGCACATAAACATTATCCAATAAAAAAGACATTCAGTAATAAACAATACGAATTTTGCATGAGAAATGACGCTGTTTACACGATTATGCACGTCGTCTCCACGTTGGCGGGCCGTTGAAACCTGTCGAAATTCAAGTTTTCGCCGTCAAAATTTTTATTTATTTATTTTTTTGTGCGTTCCAATAAAATACGTTAAGAATTAAAAACTCGCGAAATTTGAGAAGCTACTATACGACATTTAACCCTTCAATATGTCTTCAAAGAGACCATGACGCAGAGAAAATGGTGCTAGTGCTTCCAGGCATGAGCACAAGTCACTATCTATCCAGGAAAAGGGTGAATTTCCATGGTCCGGCACCGGTCAGGTCCCGAGGTTGCCGGACTAGAGAGGCACAACCTGTATTGTGTCAGTTGAATCTATTACAGTGTCTGCTCTCTATCTTACGTCAAATTATATTATGTAATGCTCACATTTTAAAGACAATTAATTCTTTCATGAAATACTCAAGATTAATAGTGGAACATATTGTATATTCTTGAAATTTGATGTGAGAATCTCGTGGCAGCCCTGATTGTTGTTGCGTTGCCAAGTCATCGATATAATTTCTTTATTATTTAAGCAAATATACGAATATTTGGAAACTTGTCATGATCTTAAATAACGATGAATAATTTATTATTGTAAAAATTCTAGTTTTGGATTGCTTAATATTTATCCTGACATCGATACAGCCAAAAATAAATCCACCAATCGCAATCACCTTTACATACAGCCTTCTTTCCTTCAAGTATTGCCAGGTAAAATTGCAAGCATGAAACCCAGGGTGGGGTCAGTGCATCTTTGGCTGACTGTACAGTACAGCTTTGCCCTTGGGACAGTGTGTGCATGTAAATGAGTAAAAATAAATTAATAAAGTTACATATATCGAGCCAAAAATATTAGTTGAAAAACTTGGATTGCTAAATTTTAGAATGACCAATAATTAAAAAAAAAATGCAAAAATATTCAAGAACACAACTTTCTTGATATTTACTCCACTGGAAACAAATGTAAACATAGAACAAATTACTGTATTGGCGGACTAGCCGATCAGCTGAGGCTCACAACAAAACGTGTTTGTCATAAGGTTTCGTTAATCGAAGTTTTGTTTGTTAACCGAATTGAAGATCCTTATGGGAGCTAATTCGTTAACTGAAATTTTGTTAATTGAACCGTTCGTTAATCAAGGACCACTGTATATAGTGATTTAAGGGCGATTTAGGGGATTTTTAGGAGTCTTTCTTACTTTACGCTGGGTCCCAGGAATGTAAGCCCAGCGTAAGCTGCAAGTCTACTGTACAGAGATTACAACAGAACAATCAAACCAGATATCCTAACTAGCAGGCGTATAAGGAAGCAGAGATAAAAACTGTAGGAGTGCATATGTACAAGAAGTACTTACCTGGGCTATTGTATATAATATATTGATCACACCAGCAGCAACTAGCACAGAAGACCAAGCGATGATACAACTTCCCATGGCACCGATGAACAAAGTAATATTTTCCAAGAGGAAGTTCAAAGCCCTCTGAAATGGAAAAAAAGTAATTAATTCACAGTTTCACTTTCATATACAGGTAAATTACAACCTCCCTTACCTATGAACACAGGTATAAAGATTATTCATTATACGGCATACATCTCTGATATACTGTATACAGTGACCCCTCGGTTAACGAACTCAATCCGTTCCAGAAGGTCGTTCGTTAACCGAAACCATTGTTTCAATGGGTTTTTGGGTAATTGGTTCCAGCTCACCGAAAATTGCCTAAATTCAACAAAAAAGGTAGAAAAGTACACTTACTTTGAGGTGTGTATGTAGAAGGCTCCTGGATGATGATGATGATGATGGTTATTAGAATGGGGGTGGAGGAGAAGGAAGAAGAGAAGGCATTGGGGTGGAGGAGAAGTCACCCCATGGTGCCATTTCACCCATAAAATTATAGCTCTCTTGGTGTAATTCAAGATTATTTTCTTTAAATCAACACTGCACTGCATTATATATTGTCAATATGTAAAATATATATCAAAATGACCAATAATTTGCTTGGAAACACAGAAAAAAGCATTTAGTTGAAGGGAGTCTCAAGCAAGATGTTACCTCCAGTGAAAACAGAGAGAGACTAACGCCTGTCTGGTGTGTTAACAGGCGGGATGGCATGCCAGAAACAAGTTTCTTTACCTTCAATTATGTTCAATAATTGTTAAAATGACTAAAAAAATTAATACAGTATTACCCCGCTTAACGCGCTTTCACTTAACGCGTTTTCGCATATACGCGGTGCCTTGCCAAAGCTGAACTTTCACTTAACGCGGATTTTTCCACAGCAACGCGGTGAGTGTCCGGCTCGAGAGCAATTTTTAGATTCGCACCATCCCCCACCCGCCACCCTGCCTGACTGCCTGTTTTAGCTCATAAAATTCATACAAATTACCCAGCCAGAATATAATTTACATTGCTGGAATTCTTATAATTTGGTGATCATTTTGAATATAAACAACATATATTTTGCATTAAACATACAATTTTTAGATAAAAATTTTTCTCTAGGTAATTATGTTATCTTTTGTCCAAAATATATGACATTTATATTCAAAATATTCCTGGTCTTACAAGGAATCCAGCAATGTCAATTATATTATCCTAACTTTAGTTTGAGGTATTATTTATTAAAATTTAGTGGTTATCCCACACATCTCCTTGGGACGGTTGGTGGGGGGTGGGGGGGAGGGAGGGACCAACCGACCGACCATCTGTTACCTGGTGAAGAATTATTTTTTTTTAACTGAAGATATTTGTTTTAGCTCATAAAATTCATACAAATTACCCGGTCAGAATATAATTTACATTGCTGGAATTCTTATAATTTGGTGATCATTTTGAATATAAACAACATATATTTTGCATTAAACATACAATTTTTAGATAAAAATTGTTCTCTAGGTAATTATGTTATCTTTTGTCCAAAATATATGACATTTATATTCAAAATATTCCTGGTCTTACAAGGAATCCAGCAATGTCAATTATATTATCCTAACTTTAATCTGAGGTATTATTTAATACTAAATGTTAAAAACTCTTGAATGGAGGATTGGTGGGGGGTGGAGGGAGGGTTGGGACTGACCGAGCGGTTGGAAGAGGGGAGGAGGCAAGGTGGGGTACTTTGATTGACAGATAGTGTTGAAGAATATTTTTTTTTTTTATTAACTGTAGATATTTGTTTTAGCTCATAAAATTCATACAAATTATCCGGCCAGAATATAATTTACATTGCTGGAATTCTTATAATTTGGTGATCATTTTGAATATAAACAACATATATTTTGCATTAAACATACAATTTTTAGATAAAAATTGTTCTCTAGGTAATTATGTTATCTTTTGTGAAAAATATATGACATTTATATTCAAAATATTCCTGGTCTTACAAGGAATCCAGCAATGTCAATTATATTATCCTAACTTTAGTTTGAGGAATTATTTATTACTATACCTGGTTTTCCCCCAAAAATTTCTCAGAGGGAAGAGCCAGTGAGTGTAGTGTGAGAAGAGGGGGAGGGAGTTGAGTCCATTATTTGAATGGACATTAACTTGGCGACTGTATTTCTCTATTTCTCTTAAGTATTAATTGTGTGCATGTACCATCATAAAATTAAGATGTTATTTTTACTACAACATAGTTATTTGTCGTCAAAAAGTGGAGTTTGGGGGTCGGGCTGGGTTCTATTGGAATTAATCCCATATGTTCTGTTATTCACTTAACGCGGTTTTCACTTAACGCGGGACCCTCTGGGTTCAATTGACCGCGTTAAGTGGGGTACAACTGTATTAAAAATTTAAAATTATTGAATAGTATAAAACTTTGATATTCACTAAACTAGTAAGGAATTTAAGCCCTAGAACCGATTAATGTACATGACTGATACTAAAGCTGGTTGCCCGTCAGCAAAGTAAAACATGTTGAGGTCGGTTCAAGAAATTGCTAACCCACTTTTTGTTCGTTAACCGAATTGAAGATCCTTATGGAAGGCAGTTCGTTAACCGAAATTTCCGTTAACCGAGAAGTGTTCGTTAAACGCACGCATTTACAATGCGCGGCGTGTGTGTGTGTGTGTGTGTGTGTGTGTGTGTGTGTATAATAAAAATAATAATAATAATAATTAACGTTTATTGAAAAGTTCTGCAGCCCAAGGCTGAAAATATACATTGGGCATAAATGACTTATTACATACATTGGTGGTTTAAAAGAGCTTCATTAGAGAAAGGTAAAGGAACAAGGTGAACATACAGATTAATGTAGGTGTTGAACAGCAAAACGTAGTGTAGTAACTCCCTCCCAGATGGTGTTAGGAGGACCTCACGTGGTGTAGTAGTTCCTCACAGATGGTGTTATGATGGGCCTCACGTGGTGTAGTAATTCTCAGAGATGGTGTTATGAGGGCCTCACGTGGTGTAGTAATTCTCACAGATGGTGTTATGAGGGCCTCACGTGGTGTAGTAATTCCCTCACAGATGGTGTTATGAGGGGCCTCACGTGGTGTAGTAATCCCTCACAGATGGTGTTATGAAGGCCTCACGTGGTGTAGTAATTCCTCACAGATGGTGTTATGAGGGGCCTCAGTGGTGTAGTACCCACAGATGGTGTTATGAGGGGCCTCACATGGTGTAGTAATTCCTCACAGATGGTGTTATATGAGTGAGGTGTGGTTCCAGGCCTTCCTATCGAGACGGATTAACACACGCTGGTAGTTGGGTCTCACGGGTCACATCACTGGGTACCTGGGACCTCACTGTGTGAAAGGTCAACTTGGGTACCACTGTTACTGTTGAGTTGTTCTCACTGACTTAAGCACTGTTCACCACTGTTCACCCTGTTTAACACTGGTTCCATTTCTTTCCTAAATGAAATAGTAACTTGGCGGAACTTGTTGATATTCCGTGGGGAGGAGGGTCAAGGAGGGAGCTGGTATGGGCCAACATAATAGTTGACCTGGCTGCCCGAGAGGAGCCAGGCACGCCTTGACCCTTCTCGGGTGGGGAGAGAGAGAGAGAGAGAGAGAGAGAGAGAGAGAGAGAGAGAGAGAGAGAGAGAGAGAGAGAGAGAGAGAGAGAGAGAGAGAGAGAGAGAGAGAGAGAGAGAGAGAGAGAGAGAGAGAGAGAGAGAGAGAGAGAGAGAGAGAGAGAGAGAGAGAGAGAGAGAGAGAGAGAGAGAGAGAGAGAGAGAGAGAGAGAGAGGAGAGAGAGAGAGAGAGAGAGAGAGAGAGAGAGAGAGAGAGAGAGAGAGAGAGAGAGAGAGAGAGAGAGAGAGAGAGAGAGAGAGAGAGAGAGAGAGAGAGAGAGAGAGAGAGAGAGAGAGAGAGAGAGAGAGAGAGAGAGAGAGAGAGAGAGAGAGAGGAGAGAGAGAGAGAGAGAGAGAGAGAGAGAGAGAGAGAGAGAGAGAGAGAGAGAGAGAGAGAGAGAGAGAGAGAGAGAGAGAGAGAGAGAGAGAGAGAGAGAGAGAGAGAGAGAGAGAGAGAGAGAGAGAGAGAGAGAGAGAGAGAGAGAGAGAGAGAGAGAGAGAGAGAGAGAGAGAGAGAGAGAGAGAGAGAGAGAGAGAGAGAGAGAGAGAGAGAGAGAGAGAGAGAGAGAGAGAGAGAGAGAGAGAGAGAGAGAGAGAGAGAGAGAGAGAGAGAGAGAGAGAGAGAGAGAGAGAGAGAGGAGAGAGAGAGAGAGAGAGAGAGAGAGAGAGAGAGAGAGAGAGAGAGAGAGAGAGAGAGAGAGAGAGAGAGTGTGTGTGTGTGTGTGTGTGTGTGTGTGTGTGTGTGTGTGTGTGTGTGTGTGTGTGTGTGTGTGTGTGTGTGTGTGTGTGTGTGTGTGTGTGTGTGTGTGTGTGTGTGTGTGTGTGTGTGTAATAATAATAATAATAATAATAATAATAATTAACGGTTTATTGAAAGAGCTTGCAGCCAGAAGGCTGAAAATATACAGTTACATATTTGGGAATGGGTTACTCTAATTACAAATAATATACAAGTGACATAAGTGACAATAAATAAGACATATAGTAACTTAGATGGGGATCAGCTCAAAATACAGTTCATTTCAACATAGTGATATAGGAGCAGTGCTTACTGGGAGGAATATACCGATTTATTACATGTTATTGATAATTTTACAATGGTTGGGACTGGGCTGGTCGAGAAGCGACCAGTTCGTGTAACGCATGGGCTGGATGCGTTGTGGTGAACCTAACAGCACCTCGGACAGGGGATCTCAGGTGGTAGTAGGGGCCGTCGGGATGGCGTAGAAGCTTCTACCAAATTTGCAGATGAGGTCGTGGTGATGGTCAGTGAGAGAGTCGAAGGGTCAGTAAAAGGAGCCGCTTCTTGATATGTGAGTAGGAAGGGGAGAGAATAATCTTGCATGCCCTCTTTGCACTTTTTCTAGGTGTGTTTACGCCAGTGGCATTTAGGAGGAAGACCAGGTGGGGGAGGCATAGGTGAGCTTTGGGAAGTATGAATGTTGTAAACACTGAGGAGCTCGTGCAGGAACCCGAATTTGAGTCGGGCGGAGGAGGTGGAGACGGAAACTGAGGATTTGACAACTTCACTGACGCAGGTTTCCAATTTAGTTTGTTGTCTATGGTGACGCAGGAGCTTCGCGGGAATCTACAACCTGGAGGTGTTCGACCTAGGTAATGGAAGGAGGGACAATGTCGGAGGAGAGGGTTGATGCATAAATCCACGTCTGGTATGGCTTGATGGTGACATGGTTGTTGCGGCCCAGTTTTGGGAGACTGTTCAATGAATCCTGAAGGGCGGTATAGTTGGGAGCGGAATTGTTGACGCTATCCCAATGGTGGAGTCGCCGACATTTCCAGCGCAGCAGGGGCTTCTTAGGCATCATTGATGAGCATAAGGAAGCAGAGTGTCCCATCTTGGTGCCTTGGGGACGCCACAGGTGAGTGACTGAAGGTGGAGACAGCCCGAAGCGCATAGCTTGGCCGGTCACTGGAGTAGTCTGTAAGTTATGGTATGAGACTTCTCCGGCCCGAGGTCAATAGCTTTGTTTATGATTATATTGTGGTCGCATCAGGTCGAACGCTTTGAAGTGAAAACTACCGAAGGCGACAGCTACAGACGTTTTTCGCTTCTCGAGATGGCGTATATGTAATCGAAAGCTGACAAGACAGTGAGTGGTGGAGGAAGTTTTCATGTTGCCAAATTGTTGAGGGTCTACGACCCTGCAATATCAGCATAAGCCCAGTCAAACACAAAACTTTCACAGATTAGGCTGGGTATTGGGGTGATTGCAATAGGTCGAAAGCTGATTTTAAGGATTGTGGGCTGCTGACGGGGCACTGGTGATGTACATAAGAGGTCTTCCAGTCAGCTGCATCTGGCTTGACTGAGAGAAGCATTGATGATGGAGCGAGGGGTTTAGCAAGTCTGGGAGAACTCCTTAACAGTTTCTGCACAAAGCTTCAATGGGGTGGTAGAGCGCTTGGAATTTTAGTTTGTCCAGGCGTTTTGCTACGCCACCCTCTACTAAGTCAGTGGGAAGGGGGCTGGTAGGCAAGGTGAGAGTGTCAGTTGCCGCGGGAGCCGCCTGGGCATATAGTAGCTAAATGGCGGTTGCTCTGTTCAGCTGCTGGGCCAACATTTAGTGAGGTGGTTAAGGAAGGGAGGTGTGTCATATTGCTTTAGTCCATTGTGAGTTCTTTAAGCCACATACCACGGACTGATGCTGGTCTGCTTCAGGTGCTGTAATTTGGTTGGGTAGTGGACTTCTTTGCGCTTATTCTCATGGATGACTCTGTTGGGCGGCGACCGTATGATGTACTGGAGATGAAATGCTCTGTCTCTCTCTGTTGCATAAGTCTTTTGATCCGAGGTGATCCAGGCAAGTCAGCTGGGTGAGACCTGGACGGACTCTCGGGAAGAAGTGGTGGTGAGCTTCCGTGGTGGTGTTGGTATAATTTATCCATTTGGTTTCCACGCCATCCACGCAGCTTGAGTACTCTCTCTCAGTCCAGGATAGTGAACTATCCACTGTCCAAAGAGGCGTACTGCAGAGCCGTAATCGGCCTGTAGGTTCCCTGATGTAGGGTCTCTGTACTTGGCGGGAGTGGCAGCAGGGACCAGAGCACTGATAAGTGTAAAAGCTACACCCTACCGCAGGAGGCAGTGGTGTGTGTGTGTGTGTGTGTGTGTGTGTGTGTGTGTGTGTGTGTGTGTGTGTGTGTGTGTGTGTGTGTGTGTGTGTGTGTGTGTGTGTGTGTGTGTGTGTGTGTGTGTGTGTGTGTGTGTGTGTGTGTGTGTGTGTGTGTGTGTGTGTGTGTGTGTGTGTGTGTGTGTGTGTGTGTGTGTGTGTGTGTGTGTGTGTGTGTGTGTGTGTGTGTGTGTGTGTGTGTGTGTGTGTGTGTGTGTGTGTGTGTGTGTGTGTGTGTGTGTGTGTGTGTGTGTGTGTGTGTGTGTGTGTGTGTGTGTGTGTGTGTGTGTGTGTGTGTGTGTGTGTGTGTGTGTGTGTGTGTGTGTGTGTGTGTGTGTGTGTGTGTGTGTGTGTGTGTGTGTGTGTGTGTGTGTGTGTGTGTGTGTGTGTGTGTGTGTGTGTGTGTGTGTGTGTGTGTGTGTGTGTGTGGTGTGTGTGTGTGTGTGTGTGTGTGTGTGTGTGTGTGTGTGTGTGTGTGTGTGTGTGTGTGTGTGTGTGTGTGTGTGTGTGTGTGATAATAATAATAATAATTATTAACGGTTTATTGAAAGAGCAAGGACCAGAAGGCTGAAAATATACAGTTACATATTTGGGGAATGGGTTACGAATTACAAATAATATACAAGTAACATAAGTGACACAAATAAGACATATAATAACCAGATGGGGAAAAGCTCAAACTACAGTTCATTTCAACATAGTGACAGTGTAAGGAGCAGTGTTTACTGGGAGTGAATACACTGATTTATTACAAGTTATTGATAATTTTTACAATGGTTGGGACTGGGCTGTTCTTATAGCGATCAGTTCGTGCACGTATGGGCTGGATGCGGTTGTGGTGTCGAACAGCAATTCTCGGACAAGGGATCTCAGGTGGTAGTAGGAGCCGGTGTCGGGGATGGTGTAGAAGCTTCTTACCAAATTTGCAGATGAGGTCGTGGTGTGTGTGTGTGTGTGTGTGTGTGTGTGTGTGTGTGTGTGTGTGTGCGATGCGTGTGTGTGTGTGTGTGTGTGTGTCGTGCGCGATTTGAATAATGTATATTCCTTTGAATGTATATTCCTTCAGCGGCAATCCGCGTATTTGCAAATCCGTATAAGTTAAACCCACGTATGTTAAGGGCCGACTGTAATGATAATACAGTAATAATAATAATTATTCATAGTAAATCAAATTGTTAATAAAAATTACACAAAAATAAAATAAGAATGATAACAATAATACTAATAATAATAATAAATAATTCTGTAATAATAAAATAATAATAATAAAGAAATACAAGAATGAAAAAAAGATCAAAAGTGAGAAACACGTCCTAGACCTATGAATTATTATTATTATTATGTTTTAGCCCCCGGGCCCCAATGTGGGTCACTGACCTGTGCCCGGGTGGGCTGATCCCTGTAAGAAAAAAAAAAAAAACCTAACCATTCTGAAATCCAAAAAATTCCAAAAACCGAAATGCATCTGGTCCCAAGGATTTCGGATAAGGGATTGTCAACTGTATTAATTTTACTACAGCTACAACCAGGGAGTTATTTTCTTCAGTTTTATATGTAGAACCAATCAGTCACTGGTTTTGTAAACATTAACGAAAACGATGCCGTCTCATCCCCTCGTGTGTTTTAATATTCTACGTATTATTAATGAATTGTATTGTTCATTTTGCACACATAAACATTAATTCAATCAAAAAGACATTCAGTAATAAACAATAATGAATCTTTTGTACATAAGAGAAATGACGCTGTTTACACGATTGTGCACGTCTGAACGTTGGCGGGCCGCTCAAACCCGTTGAAATTCGAGTTTCCGCCGTCAAAATTTGAAATTGTGTAGTGGATTTTTTTTATGTCCAAATAAAAAAGTCGAACTAAAAACTCGCGAAATTTGAGAACCTACTGTAATTCAAAAAGAGTTGATCAATTTATTCGGTATTCTAAGTTTAACTGTCATGTTCTTTCAGGTTTACATGTGACAACTGCTACCTATGACACACACTCCATTATCATTGTTCAAGTCTTATCTAATATATAGCACACCTATTGGAAAATTGCCATAGAGCTTTGATGATGATGAGTCCATATAATTCATCCTCCCTCTCACACAGAACACTGATATAGAAATAGCAAAATTTGTTTTACTTGTTTTCCATTTTTAACACTTTCTCTCATCCACTTTCTAATAATTATCTATCAAAACTTACCACCACATCAGGGAGAACAAATGTCTGATGGCAAAAATTTTCTGCCACCAGTGTAGGTATGGTACGGAAGAGGATGGCGACATTCCCACATAGCATCATGAGAACTGCCCATTGTAAATCGTATGGAACACAAATTCCAATACTGGTGAGTATAACTGCCATGATGGAAACAGTCTGAGGAAAGAAAAAATAGCATTAGAATTTAATCTTGACAAACACATTAGGAGATTGATAAAATCACCCTGTAATGAGAAGGTTTATTACAGTATAAACAGGAGCATCACTAACAGCACTTACTATTTCCTGTCATAACAATTGTGGAGAGAAATTAGAACCTTGCTTCCTATACAGAAACACTCAATCCATTTATATAAGGAAGACATCCAAATATGTTTTATGAATACTGTATAATGGAACAAATTTGCGGATTTGACAATTTGCTGCCATTTTGAGACCCAAACCCCTGCGAATTTGAAAGCAATTATCCCAGCAATGTAAATTATATTCTCCCAGGTTGTTTAGGTGGCAAATTATAAGAGAAAAGCTTAGTCACTCTTAAGGACTGATAAATAAACACACAGACCTTTGGCGCCAACTGTCAAAACATATCTCCTCACCTCCCCCCCCCACCCCCCCTCGCTCTCCCCCATCTGCCCAGCCAGAGTTTTAGGCTTAAGTTTTTTATTATAATATCACAGACTAAAGTTAGGAGAATATAATTTGCATTGCTGGAATCCTTGCAAGACAGCGAATAATTTGAATATAAACGTCATATACAGTATTTTGCACAAAAGATAAAATTTTTGCTCTCTCTTATAAAATTCTTAAATTAGATCTAAAATTTGTATGTCTAATGCAAATTTTAGCTTCTTTGTATTCAAATTAATCACAATCTTATAAGAATTCCTGCAATGTAAATTATATTCTGGCCGGGTAATTTCTATGAATTTTATGAGCTAAAAACAAATATCTTCAGTAAATAAACAAATTATACTTCACCCAGACACAATACGTTACGTACGTTGTAGTAAAAATAACATCTTAATTTTATGATGGTATGCACACACAATTAATATTTAAGAGAAATAACAATAATATTAGGTTTTTAACACTTACTTAGTAGAAGAGATGGCTGGGTACACGGGGATTGGGGTTGGTTCTGAGGCAGAGGGCAAATTATTGGCCCTCACCTGTATAACTTGTGTCACCTGTATCACTATCCACCACAGAGGCTTGCAGGGCCTCTTTGTCAAACCCCTCAAAGTCCATATCCTCACTATCACTATCACTGACTTGGGCTGGCTGTGGTGGGTGGCGGGTGAAGAACTCGGTAATGTTTTGTTGACTGGGCGACCGTGTGCGCACCCTGCCCGCACCACTTCTTGCGTAAATAATGGAATGAACCGCGTAATAAAAATTGTCGGTCTGGCAAGGTGCCGCATAAATGACCAAACGCGTAAACCAAATCCGCGTAAATCGAGACTACACTGTAACTTAGTCTGGGTCAAAGCTATAGCATTACCATCTTGATTTCAAGGTCAATCTTTCATTTTGAAATTCCATTTGATTCAACTAAGAAAAGAGGGAGGGTATCCAAGACATCTGGTTGTAGCCTCCACTAAAATAAATAAAATATCAGGATCAATACTCCACTTCTAGCCTTTACCTGGTGGTTATCGTAAACAATAACCAGCTACAATTAAAGGATGGGGGAGGTGCAAATGAAGCTCCTGGGTTAGACAGACATGAACCCTGTGGGAGATTAGGTCTTGTTTATTTGAACATCAACTTGGGCCAGAAGGGTAACTAAGGCAAAGTATATTAGAGTACATTATGCCAATACATGCTTAACTAGCAGATTAAATCTGTAACAGTAATTTTTTAGATTTATCAGGAAATAATAACACAAAAATTATAAAATGACATTAAATGTACAGTCAACCCTCACTTTATGCGGTTAATGTAACCCACAGGGTACCGCGGAAAGTGAGAAATGCATAAAGTGAATAACATAACATATGGGATTAAATGAAATAGAGACCAGCTGACCCCCAAACTCCACTTTTTCCAACACAATACCTATGTTCTAGTAAAAATAACATCTTAATTTTATGATGGTACATGCACACAATTAATACTTAAGAGAAATAGAGAAATACAGTCGCCAAGTTAATGTCCATTCAAATAATGGACTCAACTCCCTCCCCCTCTTCTCACACTACACTCGCTGGCTCTTCCCTCTCTGAGAAATTTTGGGGGGAAAACCAGGTATAGTAATAAATAATACCTCAAACTAAAGTTAGGATAATATAATTGACATTGCTGGATTCCTTGTAAGACCAGGAATATTTTGAATACAAATGTCATATATTTTGCACAAAAGATAACATATTTACTCAGAGTAAACATTATATCTAAATTTGTATCTCTAATGCAAAATCTATGATGTTTATATTCAAAATGATCATCAAATTGTAAGAATTCCAGCAATGTAAATTATATTCTGGCGGGTAATTTGTATGAATTTTATGAGCTAAAACAAATATCTTCAGTTAATAAAAAAAAAAATATTCTTCACGACACTATCTGTCAATCAAAGTACCCCACCTTGCCTCCCCCCCTCTTCCAACCCGCCAGATGGTTGGTCCGTCCCAACCCTCCCCCCCACCCCCCACCAATCCTCCCTTCAAGAGAAAGGTTGGGTGAAAAAACTAGATTTTAACATTTAGTATTAAATAATACCTCAGATTAATGTTAGGATAATATAATTGACATTGCTGGATTCCTTGTAAAACCAGGAATATTTTTAATATAAATGTCATATATTTTGCACAAAAGATAACATATTTACTCAGAGTAAACATTATATCTAAAATTTGTATGTCTAATGCAAAATCTATGATGTTTATATTCAAAATGATCATCAAATTGTAAGAATTCCAGCAATGTAAATTATATTCTGGCCGGATAATTTGTATGAATTTTATGAGCTAAATAAAAAAATTATACTTCACCCATGTAAAGGGGTACACCCACCGCGGAATGTGAGCATCCTGGGTTCTGGCAGGGCACCGTGTAAACGTGGAAACGCGGAATGTGGGACCGCGTAAAGTGAGGGTTGACTGTACTACCCTAGGAAATTAGCATAAAAAAAAATCACAATTATCACTAAATACAATAAACTACAGGTACACCACCGATTTTCCAGGAACTGATAGTCCGGCACTTTTTTAGTACGGACAAAATTACGAGAGGGCACTTAACTTCCCTCCCTCCCAGCCAGGGTAAAGCTAGTTTTAGGCTTAAAGTTTTTATCTTATAAAATGTGACAGACTAAACTTAGCAAATATAACTTGCATTGCTGGAATCCTTGCAAGATAGCAATTAATTTGAGTATAAACATCACATACAGTAAAACCTCGATTAACCGACCACATATGGGGGGAAGGGGCCGACGGATAATCAGAAAGGTAAGTTAATTGTACATAAAGTCTACGGAAACAAAACATACATTTTCAAAATACCTTTCCCTAACCTACCTCATTTAATTCCCTCTATTCATTTTTGTTCATTTGCCATTCAATAGAATTTGCTTTAAAACATTAACCACTTTAGTAAATAAATATGAACCAGCACAGAAACCGTGAATAAAAAATGGAAAAGTCAAAGAACATAGGTTATCACAAAAATTGTAACCAAGTCCCAGGTTGCTGATCTGACTTTCTACCTCATTTACACACAATTGCAGGGTATCAATTGCTTCTCTTACTATTGACAACACAACATACATATATTGTCTCTCACTCTTGATGATTTTTTTTTCATTTTTGCATTTCTTTATAGTTCTTTATTATTATTATTATTATTATTATTATTATTATTATTATTATTATTATTATCATTATTATTATTACATTATCACCCCCAAGCCCCGATGTGGGTCAGTGACCTGTGCCCGGGAGGGCTAATCCCCCCCCCCCACCCAAAAAAAAAAAATTATGAGTTCGGGATTGACGGTTAATCCGAAAGGCGGTTAATCGAGGTTTTACTGTACTGTCGTTTGCACAAAAGATAAAAGAGATAAAAATTTTAGTCCTTTAGTGTACAGTAAGATTTTGTACTTCGCAAGTAATATACTGTACACGAGAACAATTGCGCCAAATGCAAATACTGTACATAAACTAATGGTTAAAATAACTACAGTAATCATCCTGTGTTTTTTGCGGCAATTACGTTCCTGAAACCCCACGAAAAGCCAAAACCACGAATACTCTTTTAGGAATCACTGTACCTGTGGCTACCAAACAGCTCAGGTAGGTCATGCACTTAACCATGCCATGCTCTCCACTCACGGCCCAGTGGTCACACTGATCATTCATTAACATCAATATTTGAAACTACAGTAGGCCCTTAACGTACGCGGGTTTAACTTACACAGATTTGCAAATACGCGGATTGCCGCTGGAGGAATATACATTATTCAAATCGCACAAGACACCACACACTGCACACCACACACACACAAACACACATCGCCCGCGCCACCCCGCGTTCCCACAGTCAGTTAGTCTCGCTGTAACCACGCTTGTGTTGACATCAGCATTGTAGTTGCAAAAATATTACATTTCTGTGAATGTATTATATCAAACACAGTATGAATAGAATATCACTAATACAACAGTATTTCAACCGAAATCTATTAAAAAAACGAGTAACATATCTTGAACATAGGAAGGTTAGGTAAAGTCTTTTGTTTTCATGGAGTTTATCCTAATTTACATTGAAATACATTACGTTTCAGCAAAACTGCTATATATTTCTGAGAATATGGAAATGTAATATTTTTGCTGAAATGACGTACGTATTACAGTAAAAATGATGAAAGCAATGACTTTCACTTTCTTTTGTTCAAAAGATGTTACCGTAATCGCTTTTCGAATGGTTTTCAGTTAAAAAACTGTTGTATTACAATAATATTCTATCCTAATTCACTTGTGATGCAACAGTTTTTTAACTGAAAACCATTCGAAAAGCGATTACGGTAACATCTTTTGAACAAAAGAAAGTGAAAATCATTGTTTTCGTCACGATTTTATCCCACTTTCCACTGTAATACGTACGTCATTTCAGCAAAAATATTACATTTCCATATTCATTTGAGAACATATTCATTC